ATTTAACACAAGTAGTGATATATTTAAAAAATTTATGTCATTTTTCTTATTGAAAAAACGACTTTGTAATAAATTTTTTACTAAATCAATGGATAATAATATATTTAAGGATGAAATAAATTAAAATTCATATGACAAGATAACATAATTAAAATAAAATGCAACTTACAAGTATTATTTTTAAAGAATGAATAAATAAATATTTTTGAATTTGATAAATAGAAACACATTACTTGTTAACGAAAGGATTTTTAGACATATACTTATTATTAATATAATTTAAATATATTTCGTGCAGTATTATGACCAAAAGACAGCTTTGGCCTGGTGCTTAGAGAGCTTGGTCACTAATAAATGGCCATGGCTGGAATCACCATTTTCTATTTAATAAAATGATAGAAATTTGAAGGGAGAAAAATTAGTGTTTGAAGAGAAATTTAACTGTTATGTCTTAAGAAATTAAAAAAAAAATTTGAAGAGTAAAAGAGAAAAGAAAGGAAAAAAATTTAAGAGATAATTTTAAAAATTGAAAATTTAAAACATAAATGTATAAATGTATAAAAATATATATATATATATATATATACACACACACGTATAATAATAATAATAATAAAAGTATATAATATAATGACAAACAGGCATAAGTGCCCTCTCTGGTCGCTCTGCCCCCTTCTTGTGTCACACGGGTAGTTCCAGTGCTAATTAAGGACATTACATGGCATATGCATAGCGTATGTGAAGGTTGAGTTCTAAAATATTCTACACTTATTAGAGTGTTGAGAGAATAGGATAATTACAGAACATTGAAGAGGTTGTAGAGATTTGTTGAATGTAGGGATTTCTAAAAGATTAGAGAGTTACGTGGAAGATGTTAGTCAATAATTATAATGCATTAGGAGAATGTCAATATATAAGGTTGGAGTTTCATTTATAAAAGTTTTAAGTGTGAGGATAGAGTTGGAAGTCATTAGTTGTTTTATAAGTGAGTCATTAGTTACGGGTAATGCATTTCCACTCACAAAATAAGTGAGTATGTTTTATACTTGTTTGGATAAATTCGTAAATAAACTTAATAGAAATGCAATATGAAAAATTATCTTGAAACACTCCGACGCAAGAAGAAAGGAAAGTGGGGGTATAATGGAAATTTTCGAGCTGCTTGTGTTATATGGTAATTAGACAAGGTCTATGATTCAAAAAATGACTACGTTTTATTACAAAATATAAAAAAACGTTCATACGGCAAAAATTCAAAATACTTTTAATAGAATATATATGTACGGGCTCTCCAACTACTCTGAGCCAACAGAAATCATTAATTAATTATAAGAGAATATTAAGAAACCAATTAAAATTAAGAGAATAATTACAATAAAAAGAAAGAAAATGAATCAGGTTTTAAAAGGCTCTCATTTTATTTTTCTTACACATTTATAGGTTAGCTTTATTTGAGAGGAATAAAATGATAGAAAAGCAGAGAAAATGGAAGAAATCATATTTTGTGTTTGTTATGAAATTATGGAAAGAACTAGATGGTGAGGGAGAGTTTCACTAATTTACAAATAGTGCTTTTGTTATCCTTTGAAAATGGGAGGAAATGAAAGAAAATGGTACTAAGGTTTAATGAAATTTATGAATAATATAATAAAATAAAATACCATTTGGTCCTGTTAACTATATCAAGATGGTCCGAAAACTCCAAAACTGAAGTGGTGACCCTTACACCTGCAATGGTGTGGGGTCCATCGATCCCTTTCTCTTCTTTGACGTCAGAGTTCGGAGTTGAGACCCCAAACTCTCTATTCTCTTCCTTTGCCTCCTAAATCACCATTGTCTCCTTTTCTTTTCCTGTTTTTTCTTCCTTTCATTTATCAACAAAACATGATTAAAGATTACTAGTATATTCCTTGTAGGTACAAAAAAACTGTTTCATACATCACCCCCTTTTTATCTTTCTATTTATACCTTCATTTCTATACCCTAATCCCTTTTGTTGACCCCCACGTATTGGGCTTTATGGGCTTTCTCGTTTGGGCTTAGTTGGCCTGGCCCTTGCTTCAGGTCCAGTAAATCTTCCATTGGGCTTGCTCTCTTCCTTGGGTTGGATTTTGAGAATGGGCCTAATAATGGGCTTGAGCAATTCTTGCCTCTTCACTCTTTCTTTTCTTTCCTAATTTGTGTTGTGCTCATCTTTTTCTTTTTCTTTTTCTTTTTTCTTTTTTCTTTTTTCTTTTTCTTTTTTTTTTTTTTTTTTTTTTTTAAATCATCCTATACCAATATAACTTCTATCTAAATTTTTTTTTTTTTCTTCTCTCTCCTTCCCATTCCTTCCATCCAAACACAATATTGGCATGGTTGGACTGGATAATGGCTTTTTTAGTCCAACCCTTTTCAAAAGATGAATTGCTAGAAAAGATTTACAATTCAAAAATGAGCAGTCAAGCTATCGTAAGGAGAAGAGCAATACATGGCACTATATATAATGTGGAGGGAAAAGAACAAAACCAATTTTAAACTTTATCTACAGGGATGGCAACGGGAACGGTTTTGGACGGGTGTATCTTCTCCTGCCCCTATAATCATTTAGAAATTTCCGCCCCGTCCTCGCCCAAAACCGCTTAAACGAGAAATCTTTCCACCCCATCCTTGTCTCGTTTAACTTTTTAACCCCTACGGGTACCCACCTCGCCCCGTTTAGTTCTAGAATTTCTTTTCCTTTTTTTAATTTTTTTTTCTTTAAATACAATTATATAACTATTGAAAAAAATCATAAAAAATGGGCAATCAATAATTTAAAATAAAATTTAAAGGTATGAACGTTCTTAGTTTGTAGGGTTTCCTTAAATACAATTATATAACTATTGAAAAAAAATCATAAAAAATCGGCAATCTATAATTTAATATAAAATTCAATGATATGAGCATTCTTAGTTTGTAGGGCTCTACCGCTCACTAGAACTGTTGAGAAAGTGAGTGAATACGACTTAAGGTTTCTAAAGCTAACTATATATACTAATAAAATAAGGATAATTTAGTAACTTACCTACCTAAACAAGACGGGGCGGGGCGGGACGGTGTGACTTTTCCCGTCCCCGCCCCGAACCCGAACCCGCGCGAGTTTTCATTAATAAAAACCATTCATGCCCGAATAAGTTAAACAGTCCTCTAAAATCGCTATAAATAACGGGGTGGGTACCTAACTCTGGGGGACAAATTGCTATCCCTGAATCATCTCCATCTTCTCAATTATAATAGCAAATTACCATACAACCCTTGAAAGAGTAGTATAAGACATGATTCCATTGGTAAGACCGTCACAAGATCTCCTGGAGTAAACAGAAAACTCCATTTTCCAACAAACAAACAGAGCAACTAAAAGTCTAAAACACATCCAAATAACCTTCAAACATGAATTCCCACTGGGCGCGGAATCCTAAGAAAATTGTAAAGCACAACTGATATAGACAATACCAATTTGTCACCTATGTGCACAAAAAACATGTCTGTTTTTGTATACTTATACCAGAAAACAAAACCTTCAAATATTATATAGCTTCTCTCAACCTGGACAAGACAATCCTGATTTGTCTCACACTTCATGTATGAGATTACACCACTTGGTTTTTTCTCCACTTTTGTCTATATTCGATAACCATGTTTTTAACTGATTTAAGCTAGTCATTACATTTTTTCTGTTCTATTTTTTCTCACATAAATTAGTGACTAGTGCAATACTGCAATGTGGTTGAAACCATAGAGCTTTTCTGATCAATGTTTGGGAGATAATTGGTGTCATGTAATTTCCAATCTTTCTGGGGGTGTTGGGATGAAAAGTCAAAAGACAAATTTTACTTTAAACATTATTTTGCATAAAATAATTACGTTATTATCTTCGTGAGACTTTAGCACGTTATTTTTAGTGCATGCCAAAAGTGGTTAATGTGTGAGCCACTAGTTGCATGACTAACTTAAAATACATGATACACCATGTAACATTTGCATGAAGCTTGGGAAAAAACTCTGTTTGGGAAGAACTAAACAATAAAATATTTTATTTTATTTTATTTCAAAATTTTCCTGTACAATTTTTGTGACAAAATAGATAAATTGTGTTAGGATTGGCTATGAGTATATGTTCTAATATGCTTTGAAATGAAAATTTTAAAACAAAACATAGAACCTTGATAACACCGATGAATTGTTCCAATTCAAACCGCAAAGATCTCCTACGTGGAGCACAAAAATATATATATTTTATGACATAAAATTATAGAGCTTGAACTGTAGCCTCACCCTTAACTGGCTATACATGATCTAAAAAAACAATTTAAATGATACAGAAATCATCGACCAGCTTTGTCTTTGTATAACTGTAGCAGTTTTCTACAACAAAAACAAATTAAAATAAAAACAAGAAATCATACATATATAAATATACTTGGGTTGAGTCTCTTAATTACAACCAAGCATATTCAAAACCATTGTCTCTTGCTGTTACATACTGAGGAAAAACAACAGTGATGGAGATGGCCATTGTGAAGTCTGAAGTAAGCCCAGGAAGGCGTCGCTTGTGTGTTGGGGAAGGTGATGTTCCTGTGACCACCAAGTGTGTCAAGAGACGACGCAGAGATCCTTCTGCAGTTACACTTGGCTGCGCGGAGAATCCAGGAGAACAAAACCAGTTGCAGCAGACTCAGAATCAGACCACTACTACAACTTCTGTGAAGAGAAGTTCAAGATTCCGAGGAGTCAGCAGGTCTGATATGGCGAAGATTTTCTGATTTTACGCGTTGCTTTTCGATTGAAAAGTTGAACCTAATAAATTAGATGTGTTTTCCTTCACAGACATCGATGGACAGGGCGATATGAAGCTCATCTATGGGACAAAGGGTCCTGGAATGCAACACAGAGAAAGAAGGGAAAGCAAGGTAGACATCAAAAATCATTAGTTTTGTAACCACTGCTTTACTTTCATATTGAACTTTTCTTGATTACTCATGGCTTCTTTGTTGTCCTGTCATTTGATCTTGCAACGGACACAATAACAGTTTATCTTGGTGAGTACTTCAAGCCCTAATTTTAACGAATATTGGTTTCAAGAATCTAATTTTAAAGGTATATACTAACCTTTTTCTACTGCTAATTCAACAGGAGCATATGATGAAGAAGAATCAGCAGCAAGAGCATATGATTTGGCTGCAATCAAGTATTGGGGACCGACAACTTTCACAAATTTCCCGGTATGTTTTCTAATTCCGGTACTTTACTGTGTTTGTTGAGTTAAATTATGGATAAAAACTCATTTATTCTTATTATGCAACATTTCTTTGATTTATCTTTCTATAGGTATCTGACTATGAGACTGAGATTGAGATAATGCAGAACATAACAAAAGAGGAGTACTTGGCCTCACTGAGAAGGTACTTGAACATTAGGATCACTCACTAGTCTACCCCTTAGTACCAGCTTTGATTTAATCTAACATAGATTGGTTATCTCTTCGTTTATTATAGGAGAAGCAGTGGTTTCTCAAGAGGAGTATCCAAGTACAGAGGAGTTGCAAGGTATCAGAAGTTTTCGACATTTATCTTACCATTTTTCGGTCATTGCTAAAGAGTAAACCGCTCACTCTGAGGTTTTGTTTCTGGTTTTTGACCTGCAGGCACCATCACAATGGTAGATGGGAAGCGCGGATTGGGAGGGTGTTTGGAAACAAATATCTCTACCTTGGCACGTACAGTGAGTTTAACCTCTGATGTTTTTCGTCTTGTAATATATATGAGTGTATGTATCACCACACGCGCGTCAGATTGAAGAATTGCTTGAGGATTCTTAGAATCTTCATATCGAACAGCTTGTTCATGCATCTTATAAAGGACTTGTTCTTTTGCTTATAGGCACTCAAGAAGAGGCTGCTAGAGCTTATGATATTGCAGCAATTGAGTACAGGGGGGTGAATGCAGTAACAAACTTTGACCTAAGCACATATATCAGATGGCTAAGACCAGGTGACAATTCACTTGGCTTTCAGGATCCAAAGCAAAACATGGAGTCTCAGCTTCATACCTCTACTAACCGCATTCCAAGCGAGGAACCTGAATATCCCTTGTATTCTAGTTCTTACACCATGGCAGACTTTGCTATTCCTCCGAAACAAGAAGTTGTTGAAAGGACGATGCCCCTTACTCCCTGTCCATGCCCATGCCCCAAGTCATCATCTTCTCCAACTGCACTTGGCCTTCTCCTTAGATCTTCTATGTTCAGAGAACTGGTTGAGAAGAACTCAAATGTCAGTGACGAAGAAACCGAGGAAAATGACACAAAGAAAAAATTTCGGCTTGGCACTGATGATGAGTTTGGAGGGATGTTTTATGCCGGAACTGGCAGTTTACCACCATATGTGTGCTCTTCCAATGGTGATAAGTTGCCTGGCTTGGAGTCACAGGGGGAGAATGCGTCTGCATTGTACAATCGAACAGCGCATAAGTCCCTCTGGAATGATGCCCTAAACATGCCTTCTTCCATGCATTAACTAACTGTAACTCTTTCCGAGGGTCATGACCGGTACTCAGAAACAGATGAGAGGCAGTCTCTTGTTTAGCAGTAGAAGACATAGAAGTGACTAACTTTGGGTTATGCATAATCTGTACTTATTGTCTGAAATAAAACTGATCTGTTTCAGAAATTTTCAGTCTAACAAACAATGGTGCATCATGCTATTAATGAATATCTTAAAGAATGTGGCCCTTGGTAAGACTTCATATGTATGTCCTAAACCTTGGAGAATCTTGAAGTGCCTAAGGATTATAAGATGAAAGCACTAAAAAAGCAGAGACTTTTAACATTCCCAGACTAGCAGAGGACATTGTTTGGACAACATTTTTGAATCATGGTATTTAACTAACAAGTTAAAAAATTATTATCTTTAAATACACACTTCTTCCAAATGAATCCCAAAGGCACACTACTCAAACTTTAGAGAATGCACCGCAAGCAGAGCTTTTGTTCAAGTTTCCCTGCCTGGGACTGAGCCATGAAGTTGAGGTTCCTCCAAATTTCCAAAGCCCCAACCCTCCAACCACACTTGTACGCCATCTCCACCGGTCAACACCAGAGGCATGAAGGATCAGATCACTGCAATGAAGGGGGGATGATGAACGGACACTGCTCAACTGCCATGAAAGCATGGTAGTACCTAAGCGTATGCTTTTCTGGTCTACTCTAAAGCAAGACAGAAAAGTGCAGACCATCAAGAAGTGGATGCACTCAAAGTCGCAATTAGCACATTCATGTGAACAATGCACAAGCCACACTAATTAATTACTGAAGAATTGTATAACATAAATCTGCCACGGTCAGATGTGGAAGTGCAGATGCACTTCGTTCTTCATGCTAAGATTAGACATTGAGAGGCCTTCCTTGAACCACAATTTCAGTAGGATGCCATGGGTAAGTCCTGTAGTGGAAGCTGAAGACGCAGTTACGTGGAGGAAGCCCTGTATGGCTCACTATGGAACCAGCATCAGGATTTAGGATGCAAAGTGTGTATCGTGTTTGTTCCTTTATACAAACATGGTAAGTAATTTGAACCCAACCTCAGAAAAATTATCCGGAAGTTGCACTTACACTATTTTGGTGCTTCTTAACAGTACACACCAGTTCTCGAAATTTTAAATGTTAAACCAATCTGTATAGGGTTGAGGATGGTAGATTCTGGGTTTCAAGTTTACAAATTTTAGAAGAAGAATCAAGATGAATAGACATGAACCCACCAAAGTTTGTTGAGGCCCACTCAGATCATCAATATGCAAATTACTTTCAAGACAGTACATGCCAACATAGTTCCAAGCCACTAATAGAATCAAAATTTTGAATCACATTCAACAATCAATGTCAAATGAACATTTTCATTTAAATTTTTACAAAAAAAAAATACAAGAATGAGAGTTGTTGAGCTTTTTATCACCCTGGTGTCGCGTTACCCCTACAGCATCATCAAAGCAGTAGTGTTTAACCAACGAGTTCAAGATGGATTGGTGTGGTTCCTCAACAGTCTACGCCTAGGGCATCAGAATATTGAACTATGAACGAAGGCGCCTAGAGGGAAACGCTTATTGGCTGGTCATTGTGAGGCTCAAATTCTTGACTAGAGGGGACACCAAATGCCTCTAGCTTCCTAATGTTTTGGGATACATTCTGCAGTCAAAGCCACTATCAAACCACTTGACATGGGAAAAAAAGAGGAAGAAAAATTAAAGGAGGAAACAAAGTAAGTGGAGATGATCAGGTTTTAACACTAACGTTGAATGTGTTCCGTCTTTCTACTAGGACATGTCCTAATATTGTGCCCTTTTTCATGGCAAAGCCGGCAGGAATAGGTCCTACTTTTAGAGGCAACAAGACCTTTCCATCTATCAACAATATCTAATTTTACACTCTTGCCTTGTAGCTGGGGACATGTCCTGCGATTATGACCGCTTTGACCACATATCTTGCAACAGTGATGCCTTGGGACATTGTTTTTCGATTCATTTGTTTTCGACTTCCAACAGGTTCTTTTGTTATGCCCCTTCTCCCCACATAACTGGCATCTGAACCGTCTGCCAATCAAGTTATCCAGAAGTTCTGGGCAGTAGTGCCTTCTATGCCCTTCACGTCCACAATTTCTACAATAAAATTTTACTCCTGCATGGGAAAGAGGAATTTGAGTGATATTTGAAAAATCTGTAGTCCTCAATTAAGAACTTGGTAGCACTCAAATTTGTGGGGCTAAAGAGATTCCAGTTATCTAAATATTAAACTTGCACTAATGACAACAGTACTTGTTCATTTGAACAATATTCCAAGTATGATAATTCATGTGAAGAGAAGAAGACTACTAGTGTTTTTCATCTTTGAATAAATGTGGAGAGCAGTCTAATACGGCCTCATCGAGAAGGTCATTGTCACAAATTAAATCAAGCAATTTTTTGTATTTTATATTAATGAAGCTTTAGAAATGATAATAAATAAAAAAATCTTATTATATAACATCGATGTGCGCACAGAAGAACATTATTCACCAACAAGAGAGAACAGGCATGAAAACTTAAGGGGCTGAGCAAGACATGGTTAAAAATACTTGCAGCATAGCAAGGCAACAAATGAACCAATAAAATATTGCATCATGCAGAAATATTCCCATGAAGTAAAAGGAAACTATACTACAGAAAGCTGTCACTGAGTGCTGCATCTATAATAATAGTATGTAAACAGACCTTTCATGGCAATGCTTCTCCTACGACGGTTCTCTGGATCACGAAAGAAAGCTTTCATAGTTTCAGAAGCATGCTTCCTTGCAATAGCAGTCCCTTTAGCTTTCTGCATAAAATATAATACTTCAAATCTGACCTTCCTGTTGAGTTGCATGAAACTATTGTGCATTGATAACATTTCTTCCTGACTATTTTAAATATACATGCAAACTACCAAGCTTTTGAGAAATGATATGAGCTTCATATGCATTCATTTAGTAATGCTTAATACATTCAGTCACCACACAAAAGAGTTACGTGCTCGTACTTTTGAAAAGTAAATAATCAGGAAAACAGATTATTGTAAATATGCACATTACAGCCTACAGTAAAGCAATACCTCCTAGAAACCAATAAAAATAGAGCTTCGCAGAAGATAAGCTTTTGTTTGACCATCTTCTCATTATTCAAAAACCTTATAAATTGAAAAATGAAAATTGCTTATATAAACCATCATCTAATATGAACCAAGTCCAGATTCTTATTTTTTTTTTTTTATAGAATCAAACTAAAAATCCCATAATTCAGACAATAAAAGTTCTTCACAATTCGAACCTTAATTGCAGCCACTCTTTGTGCATGAAGCATAGGATTGCGATGAATAATCTTCATTCTCTTACTAAAGAGTCCAGTTCTGGCATTGAGGCTCTGCAATCATTCAACTAAACAAGAAAGATTAAAATTCATGATAGGGTTAATATAATTAATTAATTAAAAAAAAAATAAAAGTACTAAATTTATGAAAATCTATAAAACACAAGCTATATGAATTTGCAAACTGTAAAACCTGAACTGCTGAACAACATAAAGATCATCCATACAGAAACTTGAAATGCTTTCCTCCAAAAAAATATGAGAAAAAATAATAATAAAATACTTAATTGCTTGGGTTATTAGAGTCTGGATATTTTGAACGAAGACAAACTCTATATTAACAACTCTAAGGTTTATATCTTAATTTGAAATTGCAATTGTACTGCAATTTGGTACCTCAGCATCTGACTATATTAAAATAACAAGTATTAATGAAAAAATAAAAATAAAAATCATCAGTATAGGTAGAAAATAAAGAACGTATAAAATATATTGTCTAACAGAACAAATTCAAGTGTTAAATGCAAACAATATTGATACAAAAAACTTACTTTTAATGATCTGCTTATCTTTAAACCAACTTCAGGAGATGGAGATTGGTATACACGCTTTGATTTTTGCTTCACATCCAGATTTATTTCTAGGTTGTCTACTTCATCATCTTCCTTTACTTTAAAGGGAGAACTGAAAAGGCATATTCATTTCATTTAAATGAATAAAAAAGCAGATAGACATTAAAAAGCACACACATCCATTAAATGAATGAAGCGTACAACATAAAGAAACAATCACTGAGAAATTCTATAAAACTTGCATAGTTCTATAAATTGTAAGAAGTTCCAAAAGGAAAGAAAACTACATATTCAATAAAAAGGAGTGGCATAAGCTATAAAGGGTTTCTTAAGAATACTATTATTAAGGAAACTAATGAAGATGAATAACCTGAAAATACGAGTCTCAACCATTCCTATCTCCCATGGCTATGAGCATTAAAAAAAACTCAATTATGCACATAATTCTCCTATGACCCATGTTTTCTGCTGTGAATTGTCTGACAGGGAAATTCCAATCCCGATCCACATATTAATTTTTACATAAATTATTAAATCCTGCCAACCCAAAAGAGAATAAATAAATAAATGTGTTACCCTTGTGCAGACTAGAGAAGTTATGTCTTTATAATTTTTCTTTTTTTCTTTTCTTTTTTTTTTTTTTCTTTTTTTTCCTTTCTTTCTTTCGTTTACTGTTACATGATTTATCTTCCAGTCTACAAGTGATAAGAAGTATAGGATTAATAATTATAATTTTAGGCTTTGATGCCAGGTGATAAAAACATCATATGGAGGGTAATTAGCCTCAAAGTTTTTTCTTGGCCCTCCTCTGGCTATTGGCAAGCTTCTTTGCAACTATGTATCAGCAGTGTTGTATTCTCGTTTGAGTGTTTCTCAGTTATAGGGGTCAGCCATACATTGAACCAAAAAGATAAAAAGATAAAACACAAAAAAATAAATAAATAAATAAATAAAAAATAAAAATGGTATATTTAAATAAAAGCATTATGTGAAATAGTTATGTACCTCGAGCGGGCTTTCTCCCAAGGCTGTTCATCAATTGCCTCTTCCCATATAACACAATCTCCAAAGCACTGATGACAAGTCCTTATACCCTGTTAAAGTTGACGATTAAGGAAATAGAAAACATGAACAAGAGGATAAATCTATTAGTACTACAAAGATTGACCAGGGAAAGTATCTCCATCCATTATATGATAAATAGCAATCAAATGGAAGGTATGTAAGATACTCGTCAATTTATTATCTATGTGGAATTTGAGATAGGAGATGAGCAAGATTATTTACCTTTCCATTACACTCTGTACAATCTAATCTAGATCTCTCTATTCCACATTCTGTACATGGAGTATAACCCCTTCCCCTGCAACTTGGGCAAGGTAACTCTCTGATGTACTGGCCGTTAGGACCAAACCAGGATCTTGGCTTGGGTGCACCAGAAATAATATTCCTGAATTAAAATGACAATGGAAATGTCACACCATCATTGCAAATAGGAAAACCAATAAAATACAATTGATCCACTGTGTCATCTAATCCAGCATCACTTGGTACATAACAAGAGTAGTTGAGCCTTGTTTGTTACAGCTTATGAACTGCAACTTTTGAACTTGCTTATGATAAGTTGTTTTCAGACCGTTACGGTGTTGATAAGCAGCTTAAAATAAGTCAAAAAAACACATTTTGGGCGAAGTAGCTCAGAAAGTGCCACTGATCTTATAATCAACAGGAACTTTATTCAATCCTTTTAAGGTTCCAATTACGCCCTCTTTACAGCTAGACTAGAGTCACTATACCACGCATTTCCCTCTACAAGGCACATAAGAGATCCCCTCCCATTTCTCTCACAATTGATGCTCTCTCCTCCTATCTTTCTACACCAATGAGTGCAATCAACAATTGAATTGCCATATAGCTGCATTTGCAACAAAAACAATCAACGATATGAGCAACATGCACTATGACCACTGGTGACCTGCAGCAATATTTCATTATGTGTCAATTTTCATAGTTTCTGCAATTACATATGATCAAGTGCTTCCTTTTAAGATATTGCACTGTGTTTCTTTTTTAAACAACTAGTCCGCTAATGAGTCAAATAATCAATAGTGAGTGGTGACCACAGTAACATTTTCGAACTCTCATGCCAAATAGTTCTCTCCAGCTCACCAATAATCACTTATTCGACAGTCACCTATTATTAATCACTTGTTTATAAGCCTGTCTATGTCAAACAACTACTAATAACTAATCTACAACACCCAAAACTAATCTCAACTTTAAAATTGAAATAGCAATCAGAAAATCATCTCAATTGAGCTTTCTAGGCTATAAATGTAAGTTTACAATAATATTGCCACCAATATAAATGCGTGTAAATTGTAATGAATCTAGAAACAATGCGCCGCATAGTTAGAGTACATGACACAAAGAACCATATTTTATTTCTTTCAAATCCCAATTCTTCAAATCCCAAACATATATGCACGTAAATAGATGCAAACATATAAACATACATACACAAAGATAGAGCACGAGAGAGAGAAAGAGATAAAACCTTGGCTGTAAATCGGCTGTAAGGCCAAAGAGGTCCTCTGAAGGATCATAACCGGACTGTCAATGAAAGACATAAAACGGTTGTTAATAACAATTTAGTGAAAATCATTTTGATGGGAAATAACACACAAATGTAGATGAATTTCATAAAAATTTCCAAATACTATCCAACTTCGTGCACAAAATACCAACTCAGTAGATAAACTAAATGTGTGTGTGTATATATATACACAAACAGAGAGAGAAGGAGATAGAGAGAATGCCTGGTTTGAATTGGGAGGCGGTGAAACTGAATCATCGTTCAAGGAAGAAGAGATTTGGGATGGAGGGAAGGTAATTTTTCTTTTGGAGTGAACGAAAATCAAGAAACGGACATTTCCATTGTGCCTCCTCTGAGGGACCAAGACCCTGAAGGAGGAAAAAAGTGACGACATTTTATATGAATTGAGAAAGAGAATGGTGAGTGATGCAAGGGATGCAGAGAAGATAGAGATGCTCCAGGATTCTAATCCTTTTTCGTGTGGTGTGTGGATACGAATGCGACAAGCGGGCGCCACTCTAGTGTAATAAAATAAATAAATAAAACACTCATAGAAAAAAGAAAAATTAAATAAAAGTTTAACTGTAAGCTAAAAAAATTAAAACAACTTACGCATTTTGGAGTGGACAGAATTGCTTATATGGTCAATGTTCATTGAGTAGAGTTTTTAATAACTTCTCCAATGTACAAGGATAAAAAATACAAATACATAATTTTTTATATTTTTTAACTTTCTGTTTCAATATTATATTTTAGAATTTTCAAAATTAAAATATTTGATTTGTTAATTCTAGAGACTTCTTAAAATAAAAAATAATAATAATTTTTATTTAATTTTTTTTCTTCAACTTTTTATTTCAAAAATTATTATATTAACATTTTATTCTCCCTTCGTACTAACGATGTGGAAGAATAACTAAATTCGAAGTAAAGTTGATCAGAATATCTAATTCACTACTTTAATAACAGAGTACTCAAGTATAACTTATATAGCCCTTGAATTTCTTATTCAGGTGATGATCGTGTCTAGTATAAATACTTCAATCACTGTATTTGAAGATAGAAATCTCTCAATTGACTAATAGTTAGTGACAAAACAGTGCATAAGTTCAACCGTGGGTGCAAGGGCAAATTCAAGTGCTGGAGCATAAATACGACAAAATATAAGTCACATAGGGTGAAAATGGAAATCAGAGCGCATGCGAAGCGGGAGCACTTCGAACTTGACGGTGAAATTGTTGAGAAGAATTATGTGACTTAAATTGTACTAGTCTTATTAGGAACCAAATGAAGATGAGATTGTTAGAATTTAGATCCAATCTAGTTAGGCTTTGCGTGCGCTATTGTTTTGATGCTAAACTTCTAAGTCTAGGACTTCTCATTAGGCATAGCATCACTAAATAGAACTCTATAAACTCACAAGCTTATGCCAGTCACATTCTATAAACTCTTCGGACCTGTACAGTTGCACAATTTCCGTCATTTTGTGTTTCTTCGGCTTTCATCCTTTCAATTATAAATTGCTCTGATCTTTGCGATCTTATATCTCAAAGAACAATAATATCAACAAACGCAAAACACTCTCATGACCACAGTTATATAAAATCATCAAAGTTAGGTTTTCATTTCCAAACAATCGTTAAATACAATTTGTTCCTGGAGAAGTATTCACAGCATAAAATTGCTCACTCATTTGAGACCATTTCCTTCTTCCTTAAAAAAATTACATTTAGTGATGGACTTCATGAACACCGTTGCTTCAGAACCCACGATAGTTGAAGGTTGGCACACCAGTACACGAGCCACAGTCTTGCGTCCAAGTCCATTCACACGATTTGAGGACGAAGTAGTAGTTGGCTTCTGAGCCTCCTCACCATTTTGATGACTAGTTTGTATTTGCAGTGCAATAAATGTAGAATCAGTGAAACGTCAGTTATCAAAATCAGTAAAACTTCATGAGCCATCAGAGATGAAGCCAATTCTAGCTCAGGACAAGAGGACAGTCGAGGAAGGTTTTTTTCACCATGTCTTATGCAAATGCGGTTCCTTTATGTTACTCCTATCAAACTTAAGCCAGGGTGCTTCTTCAATTTCCTATCATTCATCGTCTCTCTAACCATTTCCAAATCCTTCCACCTCCCCTGTGCAGCATAAATGTTGGACAATATCACATACGGAGTTGGGTTCTTGGGTTCTAACTCTAAAAGCTTTTCAGCCACTTCTTCTCCCAGTTTGGAATCTGAATGACACCTACAAGCACCAAGTAAAGAAGCAAAAACAGAAGCAGAAGGCTCGGGTATTTTTTGTAATAGTTCCCAAGCTTCGTTGAGACGGCCAGACCTACCCAAGAGGTCAACCATGCAATTAAAATGCTGATGAGTTGGGCTTAAGCAATAATCTCTGTTCATCATCCTAAAGACTTGCCATCCCTTTTCAACCTGACCGGTGTGACTGCACACTGATAAAATGATATTGAAAGTTGCTGAATTTGGTTGTACCTTCTCTTCCACCATCTGATCAAATATTTTAAAAGCAGTTTCATATTCTCCATTTCTTCCATACCCAGAAAGCAATGCATTCCAGATTGCTGGATCACTGGTCTTTGTCTCGAATTGATCAAAAACTTTGCGTGCCCAAGATGATTGCCCACACTTCATGTACATGTCAATGAGTGCAGTAGAGATGAATTCATCCCTACAGATATCAGTTCTAATAGTGTGTCCATGAATCTCTTTTCCACACCGTAGAGCATACAGAGCCGAGCAAGCTGGTAGAAGACTAGTGATAGATTTCATACTTGGCATTACACCAGCTGACTGCATCCTTTTGAAGAATATGATAGCTTCAACATCTCTCCCTAGTTGGGAAAACCCACTAATCATTGAATTCCATGTCGCGGAATCTGGTTCTAGTCCTTCAGATTCTAACTGCACGAAGAGCTCAATGGCATTGTTGCTTTGTCCATTCGACATCATTCCCACGATCATTGAATTCCATGTTATCAAATTCCTGCTGCCATTTAGTTCATTGAAAATGTCATAGGCCCATTGCCAACAACCACACTTGGAATACATATCGACTAATGCAGTTCCTACCATAATATCAAAACCCATATTATATTTAGCAACAAGTCCATGAACCTGCCTGCCAAAACGAAGATAATGAAGCTCCGAACATGCAGAGATAACAGAAATGAAAGTCACTGAATTGGGAACTTCACCTGAAAATCCCCTCATGTCCTTGAACACATCCAACACCACCCGAGGAACCCCATTTCGCAACAACCCTGAAATATATGCATTATAGCTCACCACATTCCTATCAGAAACCATTTGAAACACCTTTGCTGCAGAAACCAACTCCGCACAGCTACAATACATGCTCACAAGTGACGTCCCAACATAAACTTCAGTCTCAACTCCTAATTTAACAGCCAAACAATGTAATTGATCGCCATGTTTGACACTTTCACACGCAGACAAGACACTAGCTATAGAAACTGTACTGGGTCCTAAATCACGAACTAGTGTGAAGACCCTCAAGGCTTCATTGAAATACCCATTTTGCAAGAACCCGGAAATCGCAACATTGAGGGAAGCCAAGTTTGGTTCAGGAATTTCAGTGAACACCTTGAGGGCATCTTCAAAGCGATGAAGTTTCAGGTACATGTCCGTGATAGCTGTGGAGGTGTAGATGTCTATGCCAAAACCAGTTTTGATGATATGGGTGTGTACCATTTGGCCCTGAACCGGTGCTTTGAGCTTGCCACAGGCCTTGAGGAGAGAAGGGAAGGTGAATTTGTTGGGAGGTAGAGAGAGAGAGTGGTGTTGAGAGTACAAGCAGAGAGCTTCTCTGTAGAGTCCATCTGCAACTAGCTTTGTTATTTCGCGCTTCATGGGATGAACCCAAAATTGAGAGCATCACCATTGGTCTTTCAAGTGACAGATTGGGAGTGTACTTAACCTCAAGTTATCTGTTTATCAATTATTTAAAGCATCATTGAATCTTGAATGGTCCAAGTAAATTTGATTTAGGTCGCCTCAAATAGTTGTCCGTCGGTGTTTGAATCCTCGGATGCTGGTACATGATTACGTTTACATGTCTCTAATTGAACTTGTAAGTAAATTCATTTACGTTTACATGTTTCTAATTCAACGTGTAAATAAATTTGTTACACTTTACTAAAATTCATTTACATTCATTTTCTTCTTCTATTTATAGAAACTTATCCTTATCCTAAAAATCCATTTATCATTTTTAAACCTCATGATAATGTGGACTTTATTCCTTCTAAACAGGCTGGACCTCCCCTTGGGCCTCACTCTCAGTTAACACTGGCCTTGAAAGAGAGGAAGTGAGCTGGGGGGCCGCTGGGCCCCTTCCTTAACTGGCAGACTGGGCTAAAGTTGGCCCAGTGAAATTTTATACCCCTTCACTAATAATGAATTATAAATATTTTAAAAGGTCTGAAACTCTCATCGTATAACAAAAATAAAACTAAATTTGGATACAAAAATTTTAAAAAGATTTAAAAACTCAATTATTAAGCAAAATTTCTTATTCAAATTTGGACTGTATGCATTAATGTAGTTCCAAGATGTTCAATAATTAATTCAACCAAATATGAATCAAGTTCAATAAATTTAGGCCAGCAATATGAATTGCAGCTTTAAAATTAAAATTAGTGAAATTGAAGAAACTTTTAATTTAATATAATGAGTTACTTTTTTCTAATTCTACCAATTTCATATCTGTCAAACACAACCTTGATAAATTTTAAAATAAGATTAAGCTTGTCTTGTAAATGTCATGAAATAAACTCAATTACCATGGTTGGAGTTCACTGTATATATATATATATATATATATATTCATATATATATTATTATTATTATTATTATTATTTATTCATAACAATGGGTCCTCGAGACTTTTGCTTTATCTGCTCTAGAATTACATACAACCACATTGATCTTAGTAAAAGTTGCTTTAGACTACTAGGCAGAACTAGTTGATTCTTAAGAAAAACATTTGAAGTAGTCTCTAGTCCACACTCCAAAATCAATACACTATTAATCCTGCCATAAGCATAAGAATGGAAATGCCATCATAAAGTTTTTTATAGACTAAAATCAATAATTTCTCAGCCATCAGAAAAAAAAAAAAAAAATTAGAACCCCCAAGTCACATTCATTCCATATTGTTCACATCAGATAGCACAAGCTAACATAAAATAAGTTCAATTTTATTTCTTATGAGGTCCATATCAACTTGCAAATTTCCAAGAAGATGAGTCTTTCATGCAATGCAGAAGGCAAAGAGTGAAGTTCCTGGAGTCCAATTTGGGTGAAACTTTGCCAGACTAACTGAATATCCACTGCCAATGTAAATGCACCCATAACTCACTGATGCACCACCATATATAGTAGCACCGGTATTGTAAGACCACAAAATAGCCCCGGTATTGGCATCCATTGCATAGATAGGACCATTAGAAGCTACTGAACCAGCAAAAAGGATACCTCTGGCTAGTGTCACCGGTGCTTGGGAAGTTTCGTTGCTTGGATTGGCCGTGGTCCATACAATGTTACCAGAATTCGCGTCCAGAGCTACCCATGCACCGGCTGTTGTTGTTTGCTTAGATGGTGAAAGAGGGAAGGTCACTCTGTCACTGTTGGCTATGTTTGTGTACACTCTTTTTCCGTCTGTGGCTGCTCCCCATATCCCTCCTCCCTCCTTGCCTCCTGGTCCTGCTACCTACAAAATTAGACGGTAAACTTTAGCAAATGATCATCTCAAATCCTATGTAGAATGGATTAATTCAACTTCAATGCGATAGGTAACAATTGTGAGTCTAATTTGCATCCTAGGTGACGTCAAAATTTTCATATTGTCACAATAAAGGTGGAATGTAATCAAGAGTCATGTACCTATGTAGAATGGATTAATTCAACTTCAATGACTTGCATTCTTGTATAGTATAATGCATTGTGAGGTGAAATGTATCGTGGAGTAATGTACTTACATTAAACCAGACTATGTCACCATTGTCACGGTCTAGAGCCCAGACAAAGCCACTCTTCTGCACTGCCACAACAATATCGTGAACCTGTCCATCTGCAAGTATTATGCTAAGCAACATGGGGGCCTCTCCAAAATCTGCATCCTCATTTGGCCCCGGTGGACAGTCGGGATTATTAGGGACTAAGCACGCGAAATAGAAAACGTCGTAGCCACCTAGTTGTCTTGACCATATCATCTTTCCGGAATCAATATCAAATGCCAGGATCGAGTTGAAGTTGATATCTGGCCCAATGCACTGATCAGGATGAGTCGGTTTTGTTTTATTATTGTTCTGCTCTTCTTGACATTGTAGCACCACAGGTGGAGCATTGTAGAGGTTGCCAGTTGCAACATAAACAAGTCCCCTGTCTGTGTCAATGGCAGGGCTGCTTCCCCAAATAGCCGCGCCTGAGTAGCCCCCTAGTTTGCCACCATTATCAGGAAGAGTGAAAGTTTTCCAGAAAATTGCACCAGTTCTAACATCTAGCTTTGCCAGGCTGCCCCGGAATGTGCAACACAGTTCGGCTGGCACTATTTCTTCTAATGATGATACTCCAATGTAGTACGCCCTACAAAAAGCGAGACCAAAACTTATTGTTCATATGGAAGAACTTCTATTAATTAGCTTTCTTTATGGAAGATGAAAGTAGGACAATATTAGTACTACTTATTATTTAGAAAATTTTGAAAACAATAGTTATTCTAGATTTTGTATTCAATAAAGGCCTTAGATTTTGTTCTTGTGATATATATGATGACTAGAATAGAGAGATTGACTAACCCCTTATGAACAGTTCCTGATGAAGTAATTAGAGCTAGTGGGTGCTGGTCTAGGTGAGTGAGCCACACCAGATTTCCAGTCAAACGAGTAACGGCAATCACAACTGCAGGCCCATAGATTCCAACAATGAGAAGGTTGCCGGCTACTGTAGGGGTGGATCTCGATGCAGACACATTCACCACAGTCCCGGTTCCACTCAGACCGGTCAGCTGACCAAGGTTCTGTTTCCATAAAACAGCACCATTGAAGGCATTCACTGCATACAAAAATCCATTCCAAGAGGGGAAGTACACTGCTCCATTGGCTACTGCTGGTGTTGCAGATATGTCTTTTCCAGCAAAGAATTTCCATTTTAACCTCAAATTTCGTACAGATTTTGGGTTGATCAGCAATTATCGATTGGCATACCTACTATTAGTTATATCACCTCTATGATTTAACCACTGAAGCCAAAAAAGAAACTTGTTATAAAATTGAAGTCAAAAAGAGACTGCAATGGCAATGAAGAACTAGTACTTACCTCTGCAATTGTATTAGGGACAAGTATGGATAAACACAGTGGCATGAGAAGGATAACAAGAGTGCCATGATTGTTTAACATCGATATCTGTATTAAAGCGCTTCGCTATGAAGTGTTTATTGAAGAGATGTGAAAAATTAGGTGGCTGCTTCTAATTAGCGAAGAGAGTAGAGGAGGTGCATGGTTATCTCATTTTGTTTTGGATCATTGTACCAGTTGTTTAAATTCTATGATGTTAGCAAGTGAACTTTATTGGTGTGTCACATATAACAGCTAAGATACGCGTTAAAGCAACATATATTCTGCTCATTATCTGGCAAGAACTGTTACATATTATTGAGTCAAGAAATTTAAAAAACTCCCCCATCCAAGGGTGTCATGCTGTCACTTGTCTGATTCCGAATGCTCATCTAAACTAATCAAACCACTTATATGGCTAATCTACGGAGCCTTGAGTAATCAGTAATTAAAACTATTATGAAAAATGGAATCAATGAGCAATTTCAGAATCGGGAACAAATTTAAGAATTAAGCTTATGCATTGATGTTTTCAGTGCAATAATTCAGCCACCTAGGTGTGACTAAAGGGTTACTATATGGTCTACAAAATCATGACCATGCCAAGAGAACAAAGCCAACAATCATTAACATACACAAACACATGAAGACACATATACAAAACAGTCACCTAAGCAATGGAACATAAATGCATCCAAATCAAGGGATACTCCAACATAGGATGTGACTTCTAGTGTGTGCTGTTTTGTTTCTGTATATCATTATTATATATGTAGTGCCGTTACTAATTGAACAGTGAAGGGAGGCCGGAATATTGGCCAAAAAGCCTGCTTTATGGGGTTCTTAGTGTTGGAAACAGAGGCATTAAAAGCATAAACTTTGGATGAGATTTGGAATAGATTCTGTTAAGAATTTTTTGCGCGTCTCTAGATGAGCGTGTTTCTCTCTGTAAGGAGATGAATGCAGTATATTTACTTTCTCAAATCTGTCTCCGGGTGAATGAGAAATTAACGGAGTTTTGATAAGCCTAAATGGGTATGCAAAATATAAGAAGTGTTTGTCCCACATGAAAAAAAATGTTAAAACCAATTGAAATTTAAATAAGCCAAATTTGGGCTTGGGCTTGGGCTTGGGCTTGGGTTTGGGTCTAATTGTAAAGTTCAATTATTCTTTTTACTAAATAGAATCTTGGATTGGGCCTTTAATTTTGGGCTGGACTTATTTAAATGGGTGGTTGGTTTTTGAATTTAAATTAAAAGTTAGGTTTTTTTTTTTTTTTTTTCCAAAGGGTTGCATCTATTTCTAAAGGGTTGTATTTGTTTTTCAAATAGTTACATCTATTTCTAAAGGGTTGCAACTCAAAACCAACAGACACCATGTGAACAACCTATTGGAATGGATGTGTCTATTGGTGAACAGACACCATGTGAACCATTGTAACCTATTGGAATAAATGTGTTTAGTGGTGAACAGACACCATGTGAACCATTGCAACCTATTGGAATGGATGTGTCTATTGGTGAACAGATACCATGTGAACCATTGCAACCTATTGCAATGGTTGTGTCTAATGATGAAGAGATGCACCCAACCCGAAAAGGCATTTCTGTTTCTATAAATACCCCCCTTTGGATCATTTGCAAGTTGTTCATTGTCATTTTCTTCTATCTCCCTCTCTAGACTTGAACCCAACCCAAGTGAGTTCAAACTATAGGTTAAGTGGTCCGAACCACTCAGACCCTAATCCAATTTCATCGAACCATATTAAGATTGGTCCAAACCATTTGGTTCGGATTGCACCCAATTTAGCATTTATATGGTATAGATACATTTTTGAGTCAGAGAGAGTATTACACGGAGGAGGTTCGCTGTATCCACGAGTTTATAGTGCTGCTACTGGTGGATGTAGACCATTGTATCATGGGAGATAGACACCACTGAGTCCGTTAGCACCATAGCGGGGCGAATCTGTCTTAAGGACATAGTATTCAATACTAGCCTCGGTCCAGGTTCTTTATTTATTATTATTGTTTTATTGCTTTATTTTGCATATTTAATTATCTCATGACATATTAGTATAAAGTTTGTTATATCTTAAATGTTACATGAAGCATATAATTTACCAACAATCTTAAGACAGATTCATTCCTTGCGCAAGTTTTACTATATGTTTCTATTTAAGATATAAAGAAATAAAAATTATATTAATAATTGAGATATAATAAAATAATGTTATATACATTATTATATAATAATATACTAAATATTGATGTGTTCAATATTATGTGAAATTGAAACATGTTATATAAGTAGATTATTGAATTATTTATATAATTCAATATTGGTTGAATTATTTTAATTCTGTAATATGATATTATGTAGTATATTATATTATCTTAAATTTGTGCCAACTAGAGGTGAAAAAAGGTACTTTGTTATTTTTATCAATGATTGCATAAGATGATGTTATGTATATCTGCTACGAAGTAAAGATAAACCTTAGAAATGTTTAAACATTACAAAAGTGAGGTTAAGAATTTGTGAATACAAAACATCATGTGTTAATATTTGTTTAGAATATGGTATCATTCACGAAGAAATGATGAATGCTATATTGATAAGTTCTGGTTTAACTCAGAATTTGTGGGGGGAAGTTTTGCTTGCTGCAAATTATTTTACTCAATAAAATACCTCTAAAGAAAACGAATATGACACCATATGAATTATGGAAAGGTTGAAAACCTTTTTATAAATTCTTAAAAGTGTGGAGGTGTCTAACTAAAGTTGCAGTTCCTATTCCTAAGAAAATTAAAGTTAGACTTAAAATGTGGCAACCTTGGGAGTGGGTGTGCCATGGGCGAGTGCAAGAAGCACCGACAGGTTACCACACTGGGTGAGCTATAGGTGCACAGTCCCACATCACTTAGGGAAGGAAAATGTGAAGTGTTTTTATGTGATAGTGTTATCTCCAATTGGTATGTGGCACTTTGGGATAAAACTCAAAACAAACAATATCATACCATGTGTTAGAGTGGTTAATTACATGTAACATTTGATATGTTATACTCATAACAGCAGTACATATCATTTTCTTGTGCATAAATTATACAATGAAAATAAAGATGAACTTAGACATAGTAGGTGGGCTAGAACGTCTAAATCATTTGGTCCTTATTTTCTAACATGTTTATTGGAGAATGAACTACAAAGTTTTAAGGAAGCAAAGTCTTCTCCTAATTATTATTATTTCTTAAATTAATTATGTGATATAATTAATCATGTGATATAATATGAAACTATATTGTTATGCAAGTTCAATATTATTTTTATAAATATTTATTTTTATTTGATACTATAATATTGAACTATGTAGTTGAATATACTTAGTGTGCATAGTAATTCAATTTTACAATATAATTTATTTAATATGTGATATTATTAACTTTGTATAAGAGTTCATGACTGGTTTGTGTATTTAATACAACAAACAAAAATTTACTAGTCCAATTATGTCAATTCTCCCAATAGTCAAGGGAAAAAGATCTATACTAGTGTTTAAGACACATATAGCTCTGAATGAGCTGAATAAGAGAAAATTTTCCAATAACTCGAAAGAGTTTAATGGAAAATATTATGGATACACTAAGCAAGTATATCGAGACAAGCTAAATCAAGCTAGTTAGCTCTAATGTACAATTTAACTAAAAGTTAAAATGTTATTGAGTTGCAAACTAGTTAGCTTAGATGATTAATGACGTGCACAGAACCTAAGAGGAATATGAAAAAATGTTAGTTGGTTCTAGCTCTCAACTTGATAGTAAAAAAACATGAGGGTGATGGGTAGCCATTTTAGCCATACGCTATTTGAGTTATACATCATATATGCTCATGTAGGAGGGAATAATACTACTTGTAAAGTAGTAGTTTTTGAAGAATATTCTGCAAAACAAATTACTCTACTATCAAGGCAGTATACTTAGATAAGTGTGTACTAAAGTTATGAGTTATTAGAATTGATAGTTAAACAAATTTAACTTCAAGCTAGCGATAATAGCTGAGAAGTGGGTGCTCATCATAACCTAATAGTGAGATATGAGAAGAGTGTACTTAATCTAAGCTAGTAATGATAGCTAAGAACTCACTTTTAACTAGTAATGATAGCTGAGAAGTGAGTGTTCACTCTGTGGTGATTGTATCCAAAGCTTAAATAATAAGATAATTATTTGCTGAAATGATTGAGTTATGTGATGTGTGACACATGAAAGGTTATGACATGTTAATATGACTGACTTAACATGAACCTAAACATGAATAACTCAATTCATAAATACAAGAGATGTAGAAACAAATATAAATTTGAGCCCATTGTAATTAATATCTCTAGAATTAATTTACAGTAACGTCGGTGACATATTATAAAAACAAACTAGAAATAAAGTGAATGCATATGCACTAGAGACTATTATACATGTTTATTGAGAAGCGAATATAGAACCTTGGAAAGGTAGATAAGGTGAAATATTTAATATATGGTATTTCAAGAGTTGGAAAACTATAAGAAATATATCATATATAAAATTTCAGGATTTTCCCAAAGTTGTGGGGGGATATTGTCCACAGATGAAATTTGTTATGAGTTACCTCATCAGATAAAAAATACTTATAAATATAGAAGTTCTTAATCCTAAGAGATTTGGATAGAACCAAAAATCATTTATAATATTATAACAATAGTGCATGTTGTTTCCTACGAGAAAAATATTATGGAACAATTAGAAGAGTTCTTTTTTACAGTTGAAGAGCTGAGTTATTTGTTCTAGTTGAAAAGTCAAGTGTGCAAGCTTATAACTCCTTCAGTGGATTAGAGCAAAAACTAAGACAATGACATAAATGTGATGTATAAGTCATTGTATGCCTTAAAAAAAAAAAAAAAAATTAATGATATACTAATTAGTATATTTGATATGAAAGATTTAATATCTGATAACATAGTATATTCTCAATAGAGTGAGATTGAGATAATACTAGTTATGATAACAAAAGTACCTCCGCTGGGACTTCTA